TTTTCAATTCATAAAATCATATAGGATGCTAGATTTGCATCTCGTATATGAAAGATCCCAAATACCCCCCTAACTAATTTGAAAATATTGCGAAAAAAACTCCTCGGCCAGGAGTCGAACCTGGAATCTCCGGCTTTCCGTGCCATCGCCTTCCCTGNTAGGCCACCGAGGCACTTGGAGTCTATCTCGCAATATTCGTATATACTTATTGTTGCCTCTTTTCCGCGATGCCGATTGGTTGGTTGGTTGATCGAGTCGAATCGAATCGGCAAGATCGTGAGAGTAAATAATACAAGCGATTTTAAAACAGAGTTCGTCGTATATGTAGAGAAAATTAAAAACGTAACTAAAGTCACGTGACAGAAAATATTTATCTATCACTGACTTTGGTCACGTGGTGTTTTTCCACTTTTCTCTCTTATTATTTTTTGATTTTGATTTTCATGCGATGATTCTGACATCTCTCTAATGTGTATTATATGGTTTGGGAAACGTATATACTAGCTGTCATAGCGGTGACAGATTATGTTTACTGATACAGCACGTTAAAATACAAACAATAGCGTGCGCGTAGCGCGCGCCTGTGTTGTTCTAGTGCAGATAAAAAGTGGCACTTGTTCAAATAAGTAAAGACTCGTATCAATGATGAGTTTCTTCTTTATCTACAAAAGATTGTTCTGTATGAAAACTGAATCAACTGTTGCTGGTGAACTAATGATCACTAGTAGATCAGTTATTGTCAGTTGATATAATATGTATTAATTATAAAAATAAAATATTAAACAGATATGTTGTGGAAAAATTATACACATACTTTAATTGTGTCGAATTACAAATAAATTATAAATATGTAACGGTCCTACTTTCCCGAGAAAAGTTCGTTCCGTTCGTTTGAAGGTTTGATTCGATTTGCTGCGGAGTAGCTCGTCGGAAACGGGAAAAGAATAGACAGAAAAGAATGACTCGGTGTGATTTTAGTAACAAAAAAAAACAAATGAATTTATTTAAAGAATTCAACAGAAAGAAATAAGAAATAGTTTAGAATACAAAACGAAATAATACGCTGTGGAATTCACGTGACGATGAATTCCTGGAACGGTATGCGGCAAGTCACGCTTTCTTCGGTAATATATCAGAACAAAACATAAGTTGTGTACACGGTCGGAGATTTAAACGGTGCGACTCGGTCAAGGCCGTTTCGCGGGCCTCGGTTATTTGTCTGCTCGGAAACGTGTTTATAGCGAGAAGCGATTTTGATCGCGCGGAAAAGTCTCTTTTCTATGATAAAGAGATTTACAAAGTGTCGTTTCTTAACTCACTTTTACCGGTTCGTGAAAACAAGATTTACAATGTCGAACGTTACTTTATTCTGGAAAGTAGACTTGTTCGGTCGGTCTCTTTAGGCTCGGNTGTTCTTACGGTCGCCTTCAGCTTATTCCCCTGGAACGGCTCCAACGGAAAGAGTCGGCGTCGCCTGACGGAGACTCACGCAGTCCCCTGGGCGGGTTTCCACGGAAAGGGAGCCGGTTTACCCGGTAGAGAATCCAGAGATTCCCCTGCGCGGAACGGAGCGGAAACCGGTTTACCCGGCAGAGAATCCAGAGATTCCCCGGAGCGGAGCGGAGCGGAAGCCGGTTTACCCGGC